GAGGGGGCGGGAGGAAGGAGGGGGGCGGCCCCGAGTCCAGGAGGAAGAGCGGGGACGGAGGCGGGGGCGGCGCGGTCTGGGGAGGCGGCGGGATGAAGCTGTCGGTCAGAGAGGAGCTGCGAGGAAAGCGACTTTCGTGGATCAGAGCGGAGATGCGGTCGTCCTCGGGGGTGCCTGGACGGTGACACGTCAGCATTTGGTCAGTCTCGGGCTCCGATATCGTGCGACCAAACCGCCCTGCCCCGCTGCGACGTAACAGTGAGGCTAATTGGCATCATCGTCCCGCCATACGAATGTGGCTCAAACGAGCGGCGCTCTGTTCTCCTGCAGTACTTGCCTGCCACGCCCTCTCTCTGGAATTCAACCGTTCCTTTGCTCCTCAAAGCCTACTTCTAGACTACAACCTTGACAAGAACCATATGTCAAAACCAGAACCTTTTTTTCGGACTCCACAATTCTCTTTGGAATTCCAACCTTCTCTTGCCGTAAAGAACCTGCGCTGGGGACTCCAGCGTTCTTCTGCCACAACAACTTTGCCTTTGGACAGAGACCGAAACGTTCCTGTGAAGACTCACCAAAACTTTTGGTTCTGGACATTCCCCGGGGCAGCGCCATGGTGCTTTTCTCCGGGCCGGAGGGCGGGACCAGACCTTGACGCTCAAACAACGACTACAAGCACACACAAACACACACAATATATTCAAGTGTGACGAGCACCGTGGTGTGTATTTTGTCAGCGTTCCTCCAGAATCTTACATTAATCTCAGCCTGAGTGATTCTGCGGCTGGTGGGCCTCTGCTTCACTGTGGCCGCCCTGAAGTCATCGGACGGCCGGGACCGCAGAACAACTTCCTGTGTGTTCCCCGCCAACATGTCATCCAGTTTCTCTGCAGGCCGGCGTTTTGTCAGAACATTTTTTTTTTTGCTCCATTCTATCCCCCCCCCTTCTGATGTGACCTGTTTTGCATTCGCAACATGGCTGCATGCAGAGAAAACCTCTATTACAAAAGCAAAGTGAGTGCTGCCAGTTTCAAGATTTTTCAGACTCCACTTGCGACTATTTTTCCAAAAAGCAACCTTAATCTCGCTAACACAGAGACATCGTCCACCCCCCCCCCCACACACACACACAATAGAAGCACTTTTGACGAACATTCGCTAAGTGTAAAAGGGCGCACGCACAGTGTGATCTTGATGATCACATGACTCACCAAAACGCCTCCTCCTGGCTGCACAAAGGGAATAAGTCAACAATTCCTCTTACACATTGACTTTGTGTGCGCACGCACATGTGTGTGCTTTACCTATCTCCTCCAGGTCAGCGGTCATGGACTTGGATCGAAGAGTCAACGAAGTACTGGGGGCTCGCTTGGGAGGGGGAGGGGCTGAGAGAGGAAAACCAATCGGATGCCAGCACTTGGTGAGAAAGTAGCAGTCCAGTCAACGCTGGTGGACTTCCTGTCCGAGCATTTTTGTGACCTGGCGCACTTGTCTACTTGTGTCTGAGCATCCTTCAGACACAGCGCACTCGTTCGTGTACAGTACTTGCGTCCTCGTGTCAACTTCCGTCCTTTAGTCTGAGTGTACCTTGTTAACCCGTGTCCTAATATTCTTGTAGTTTACAAATCTTGTGGACATGTCTCCAGTGTGCTTCTCTCCTAGCATTCACGTGTCCCTGACGAATTTGTGCTCGAGTGCATTTTGTCTACTTGTGTCTCGGGTGCAATCCCTCGAATGCCCTCGGACCATAGCATCCTTGTGTCTTTGTGCTTCTGTCGACTTGTGTCCTCATATTCTTGTGTCACTGTGTCATAATGTACTCGTGTCCTTGTTTGGCACACTAGGCGCGAGCAAGGCTTGACTTGTATCGTAGCGTCCTTGCATCCCATGTTACGGTCTTAGTATCCTTGCGTACTGGCGTACTTGTCTCTGAGTGTATCTGTCAAACCTGTGTCGGAATATTCTTGCGTCCTAGAATCCGCGCGTCCTCTTTACTCGTGTCCTTGTTTCGCCCACAAGGTGCTAGCAAGGCTCAACTTGGCGCAGGAGGAAAAGCAAACCTTTTTTTCTGAGCAGGTTGGTGTCGGACTTGCGGGAAACGGATACGACCTTCATGAGCAGGCGGCTCCCGCCCTGTCGGATGAGCGCCACCACCTGGCGATGGCCGACCTTCACCACATCCGCGCCGTTCACCTGCACGCAGCATTATCGACGTCGATTTGAAAAGGCGCGTCCCCATATAGAATCTCGGCCACTCGCGCCTGTCCCCAACCAAAGAAAGGGAATGAGCAAACCTCAATGAGGAAGTCTCCAGTCCGTAGACCGGCTCTCCAGGCCACGCCGCCCTGGTCCACAGACTCCAGGTACTGCAGGGCGGGGAACGCCGGCGTGGGGGCAAACTCCTCGATGGGAGTCTCGGCTTGCAACGGCACAAAGCGAGATTCTTTCCGTGAGGAGCGCCCCACTGAGCGTTCACATTACCGAGAGTGCCTAATCCCGAGAGCGCGTGTGCCCCCCCAGCTCCCTACCTTTGGCTCCTCGCAGGACAAAGCCAAATCCTTCGCTCTCTCTCTTCTGCAGCACGGCCATCTTCTCCTCGATCACATAGTCACTGACGACAACGCGATGGGAGTCGTTAGCAGCGATTCATCGATAAAAGCACTTATTGGCGACTTTTGTGAGGTGCACAAGTCACCTGTAAGAGGTGTAGTTGTCGTACGAGCCCACCGTGTAATGTCTGAAGAGCCTCTTGGTGCGGTCCTCCCTCGTCTCTGAAATGCATTCTCAATTCATTCCAGTTGACTTTTTGTCTTTCTTCCATGGCTTGTGCCCAGCTTATACTAACAACAGGGCCGCAAACCGGTTTGGATGCGAGTCAACATTTTAATCGGCGGGCAACAGCGTGATAGGATGAAAAATGAAGGAAAAAAATTGTCCAAAAAGGGGATTTGGATTGGACATGACATGTTGAAATTGCTTACCAAGCCTGGGGTCATACTGCCTCATCTGAACTTCTTCAACGCAGTCGGCAGGAAACCAGCCTGTTCTTCCTTTCACATTGCCTTCCCAGAATCCACCTTCACCAATGGACAGAACTGGAGATGCAAAATCACAAGATGATGACTTTTGTCCTTGGGAAAAGAAAAAGAAAAAAAAAAAACCCCAACCAAACAAAAGTCTCCCCTGGACCCCCAAAGTTTGCCGGTCTCGTCACCTTTCACCCTCTCGCCGCGGTGCAGCTGGATCTCTCCGGAGCCCTGGGGTACGTGGGAGCGTGTGGCGATGAAGGTGCGTCCCGGCACGGCGCTGTACAGCCGCTTCTTCCTCAACTGCGGGGTGGCGGGGGGCGACGACGGGGGGCTGCTCTCCACGTGACCTCCGCCGCCACTCGGACTGAAGATCACATGTACCGGATGCGTGTTTTGTCACACGTTGGGTTTTTGTTGAATAACTTTCAATACTGTGAAGTGTGCATGCCAAATCTTGCATATTTGAAAATACTTCGAACGAAATAACATTTTGACGTCTTCATTCATCCAATTCTTGGCGGCCATGTTGCAGGCCGCAGGCACGCTCACCTGAGGCGGCGCGTATGTCGTCGTAGCGAGTGCGTGTGCGCGTCGAGGTGCGTTTCCAGGCTTTGTAGGGACGGTCCAGGGGAGGAGGCGGGGCTTTCCAGGGCGTTGTCGCTCACCGAGCGAATCAGAGAGCGCGGCGACGACAGGCCGTTTCCGGCCGGGGACCTGATGGCTCCCAGGCGGCGCCGCTTGGTGTACGATGGAGATTCTCGGAAGGGAACTGCTTGCGCACGCACAAACAAAGAGCCTCAGCACTCATTCGTAACCTCAATTTCCCTTGCGAGTGGATGAATAAACTGCAGTAGCTATCGAGCTGTAAGGTCTGATAATATTCTGAGGCGTGGCACTCACCAACGTCAGAACTTTTGTGGATCTTGATGATTTCGGCCAAATCGAAGTTCCCGGCGATGATGGCGACCTACACAGACAGACATCCATCTTGGTTAGACGATACATCGGCCTACAGACCTTTTGAGGTCAGGTCGAATTGTGCTTTAAAAAAAGTAAAAATCACAAGTGCAGCATTTCCCACCTCAAAATATCATTTCCGATTGAAATGAACGGAAATGAATCATTTCCTGACAAAAATAAAATAACATTCTATTTTCTTCTCCTGTAATAATTGAGTAGTTTTGGCCACTTCAATTGGCATTGTGGTGTTGCTTGTCGTGTTTGTGCCTTAGCCACCTGAGAGCGGTTGAATACAGAAATACGGATCGATATGGAGATGGCGACGCCATAGTAAGATCCGTTGCTCTTTGGGGAGGATAAAGAATATACACTCTGCTCATGAGTGCTGTTTTAGAGTCAAAATATCTCAAGGCACGAGCGTATTTGTCTCCTCAAATGAAGTGAGGCGCTTGTAGTTGTGACCTGAAAGGCAGTCTGGTTGTTGTAGTTCTTGATATCCTTGTTGGCTCCTCGGAATAGCAACACTCTGGCACAGCTGTCCTGCAGGGGGCAGCAAACGACAGCGTGGTCACTACTTCTGGAAACTCCCCAAAATACAAGTATAGTGCCACCATCATGGCCAACGTTACAATCCAGTAGCTTAGCAGGCCGAAGAATTACTCTTAAACAAGATTGAAGCTTTATTCTGAAAAGGTTTATTTTAATGTGATTTAAAAAACATTAATGGAAGACAATTGTAATGAAATAACGATTAAATTAGAATTACTGAAAGGAAAAGGTAAATAACGGTACCTTCATAAATGCTTAAAAAAAAAAAAACGATTCTGAGATGCGCTTCAAAACGTGGCCACAAGAGGGAAGCCTCGCAGCAGACTTTTGATGCGTTATCCCCCTACCTGGTTGTAGAGAGCGCAGAGGTGCAGCGCGGTGTTTCCCGATGCATTCTGGGAGCTCATGTCAGCCCCATAGAACAACAGGTGCTCCAAGTGCTGCACGTTCCCATGGCGACAAGCCTAAGCACAGCACACACGTAGGCACGTGTGATTACGTGTGCTAAATGTGTACACATAATTGTAGCGATGATTTCAGCAAGCGCAGGCGTGGGTGGCTGCGAGTGAGCGTTTGTCACCTGGTGGATTTCCTGCCATCCGTTCTCGTCGGTCATGCCTGTAACCAGAACAACCAGAAACCTTTTAGCAGTGACCCGAAACTGTTCCCGACCCCCGTTCCCTGAAAGCCTTGAGAGCTGACCTTGAAACTTCTCACCAAAGCCAAACATTCGCATCGAAAGCCGCTTTTGAATCCGTAACCCAAATAAGAAGCCGAATTCGAGAGCCTAAACTTTCAGTCAGAAAGAAGCAAGACATTTGGGGTACCGAGCGTGGCGTGGTCCTGCAGTAGCAGCTCGCAGCAGTAGGGGGCGCCTCCCACCATGGCAGAGTGATAGAGGGGAGTCAGCCCCCTGCTGTCTTTGTAGTCCGGAGACGCGCCCAGGTCCAACAGGGTCTGCAAAGAACCGGAAGCCAGTCATGGACGAGGCTGGCCGGCGCTGGCGCTGGCGCTGCCGCCCAAACGCTCTTACGGTGAGAGCCGAGCTGTTGCGGCACATGACGGCCCGATGCAGAGCGGTAATTCCGTCCCTGGTGCGAAAGTCCAGGTGAGCGCCGCCGCTGCGAAGAACTTTGATGAGCTCGCAGCTCTCCTCCAATTGGACCGCCAGCGTCAGAGGACACTCTGAGGGGAGGAGGGGCACACGGCGCCGTACTTTCACATTAAAAGCATGTCCGTTGTCCATTTGACATCTTGCTCACAATAAAGCTTGGGGGGGGGGCATTCGGGGATGGATGGATGATTTCAAACTAAATTAATACGTTTGGAAATGTTTTTAAAATCATGTTTAAAATTCTCTTTTTTCTTTTAAATCATATTTGATCGAAATCCCATTCAAAGCCGTTTTTCAACATCCCTTGGTTGTCACATCGTTTGACGAGAAAAGACAACCACCAGACACGGCGCCCATTTCTGCACATAGCGGAACTTTTTCACCCGAGTTATGGGCAACATTTTGCGATGGTCGGCCACGTTGAAAGACTGTGTACACACCGCCGCTGTCTGAGTCGTGGAAGTTTGGATCGAGGCCCTTTTCCAGCCATTTGGAAACCTTTTCCACGTTCTTCTGGTGGACATGTTCCATGAATCGCTTCAGGTTGGCCTGCGACGGACGAACGAGTAGGTCAGCACAGGTTTTTCGCTCATCTGTCATCAACTTTGTGAGAAGTTCGTGGCCTACTTTAGTGTGCAGCTTGGCCAGCTGCTTGTCGTCTACGTAAGTCTGCGTGTAAATTCTGCGTTTGTAACGAAACTGGAAGAAATCGTCGCAATGTTAGTGCACAGGGGAAGGGGAAAAAAAAAAACATACCCTAGAACATTTTTAGAGGCGTGTTCGGAATCAGTCGCTTATTCCCAAAACACTATTTCGGGATTTGGATGTCGTTCGCTCATCAGTCAAATGAAAAACAACCCACATATTCCCGATTGGACTTTCGCAACTTCACCAAATTTGGATTTGTTTTTGGAACCAAACCTCTGTTGTTCACGAAAAAGAGCAAAGTATAGTCCCCATTTGCGGTGGCATCTGGGTGTCGGGGAACTATTTTTGAACGGAGTTGAGGAACCTCATTTGGAGTCGGGAGTGGGGTCAAGGCAAATCGCCGGGCTCCACTTCAACGGCCAGGGAGTGATTCCAAACACAGCCTGGCTTGAGTGAAATAGTCTGCGGTCAAAGCGCACCTCGAGGTATGGAATGGGCGTGATGGGTGGGAGAGGGTACTCTTTCAAAAGTCGCTCCTCGTCCAGAAACTTGCCAGCTCGGCCGTTGAACGCCGGCTGGAAGAGACCATAGTTCAAAACATCCGACAGAGACTGAGTCAAGGTGACCAGAACCCTCTGCTTACTGGTCCAAACGGGTAATTCTGGGTCCAGCCGCAAACACTTCTGAGAGAGCCACAGACGCACACACGGACATGTTTGATGCCACACTTGCTCACTTTGGCCCGGCTGGCCGGCACTTCGGGAAGGGGAAAAAAAAAAACATACCCTAGAACATTTTTAGAGGCGTGTTCGGAATCAGTCGCTTATTCCCAAAACACTATTTCGGGATTTGGATGTCGTTCGCTCATCAGTCAAATGAAAAACAACCCACATATTCCCGATTGGACTTTCGCAACTTCACCAAATTTGGATTTGTTTTTGGAACCAAACCTCTGTTGTTCACGAAAAAGAGCAAAGTATAGTCCCCATTTGCGGTGGCATCTGGGTGTCGGGGAACTATTTTTGAACGGAGTTGAGGAACCTCATTTGGAGTCGGGAGTGGGGTCAAGGCAAATCGCCGGGCTCCACTTCAACGGCCAGGGAGTGATTCCAAACACAGCCTGGCTTGAGTGAAATAGTCTGCGGTCAAAGCGCACCTCGAGGTATGGAATGGGCGTGATGGGTGGGAGAGGGTACTCTTTCAAAAGTCGCTCCTCGTCCAGAAACTTGCCAGCTCGGCCGTTGAACGCCGGCTGGAAGAGACCATAGTTCAAAACATCCGACAGAGACTGAGTCAAGGTGACCAGAACCCTCTGCTTACTGGTCCAAACGGGTAATTCTGGGTCCAGCCGCAAACACTTCTGAGAGAGCCACAGACGCACACACGGACATGTTTGATGCCACACTTGCTCACTTTGGCCCGGCTGGCCGGCACTTCCTCCTGGTTGCCCCGGAAGCGTGCTAGCTAGCGCGTGTGTTACCGTCTGCTGAAGGTCCGGGATGCCGATGCGGACCACGATGCTGTTTCCAGAGGGCGCGTCCTCCGCGTCGTCGTCCCGGGCGACGGGAGAGCCTGTCGGGTTGCCGTTAGTAACCGCCTGTTGGCGTGGGCGATCATGTTTGGCGTCAGCAGCCGGACTCAGAGGCATGTGGCTGCAAGACAGGAAGTCGCTCCCAGTCACGCAGCCGAGAAGAAACTCATTCGCTGGCGCCCACGTCACTCACCCAAGCCGGGCCGCGCCTTTTGAAGCCGCACGCGTTCAAAGTCACATTGCGAGGAATGTGAGGTTGGCCCAGCGGACCAAAATAATGCCGACATCGCATTGCGTATTTTGCACTTTCATAGCATTGCAAACTTACAGCTTTGCAGCATGTGAAGAATGCAAGGACTGCTTTCCGATCGATCATCTTCTTATGTTTCTGACTCAGTGATTCCCCCTTTTTTTTTTCAAAATACATATATGACTCAGGATAGTGGGCTTTCATTGTCGACATCTTTTTAACCTTTCCAAGTGAACTTAATTTGACCTTCTAAAAATCCAACTGTTCAAAGTTTCAGTCATGTTGCACACATCATTCAACCCCTGCACTCTGCATTGGTAATAATAGCTGCGGGTTGTGACATCACTTCCTGTTTTTCAAGTCCACAGGCGCACACACCCTAATGAATTCCAAGAGGAATCCAGGGCCCGATCATTTCCGAGGAACAATTTCTTGGTCATGTGTCAAAAGTTGCCTTTCGGCGTCCGTCAGTCACTCTGCCAAGAGCAAATGAAAGTACAATCCCGGCGCTTCTCTACTTCCTGTTTGTGCGACTCTACTTCCCGTTGACGAAGACCACCAGTCACTTGATGAAGCCCCACACCGAACAGCCGCTCGCATCCCAGTGAATTGGCGAGGGGGCGAGTGACGTGTTGTCATGGCAACTGGAATAGCAGGGAATCCTCTGCTAACCTCACTGTGTCACTCTCCGTGTGCGCGTGTGGTCGACGTGCTCCCAGTTGCTACGGCAACGCAGCGGAACACATTTTTCGCAGTTTGCCGTGCGAAAAGTACATCCTACCTGCTGACTCTCGCTCTTTTTCCGTCCGGCACTGACACACCTGGGACATCGTCAAATGGCGGCGAGATGATTGTGAGGGGGATTTTGGCGAGCAGAGCGTGGCGCTCCCTTATTTTTGTAGAAATAAAGACATTGCTTTAGAGTAGTGGGCAATTTTTTAGACCTAAAGACTTTTTTTTTAAAGATAAAGTTTTATTATTTTGAGACAATGTCTCCTGCTGCACGAAAAGGCCTCTTTTCCTAAGAACTAAAAATATAGATTTGTCATTTTCTTTTGGGCTGGTGACAGACCAAGAGGCCACAAGATGGCCGCAATACTTTGGCCTGAAAGGAGCTCCTCTACTGAGTTCAACATAGTTCCTTTAAATGTTGAACAAAGATGTTGGCAAAGCACTACTCGTGCCAAGGTGAGGCACATCAACTCACGTCAACGTAGTTCCCTGGCAGCAAAAAGCCGCCAGATGGTGGCAAAGCAAATCTGTGATCGGAATACCGCTCCTGAGCGCACTTCGTCATCGCTTGGAACCGAGGTTGCTGAGCGTAGTGGCATAGCAAGACATGAAGCTCCTCAACTACCACTCCTTGGCACCCGGATACCCGGAGGCGCCGCCAAAGACACACTTTCGTGTGAATAAAGCTCCTCAACTCAATTCCGAGTCACAGTCAAGTCTGCGAATTCCTGCAATTGATGACCGAAGGGCGCATCCAGCTAGTGCAAAGATTGATTCCCGTGTGTTGTTCTGTTGCGTCGGCTGAAGCCTCCTACCTATTGGCAGCACTCCCATCAAACTTTTCCAAAGCACAATCTGCTCCCGAGCCTGACGGCGTTCCTGCTTCAGGCTTCCGATCTGCTTCCAATCCGGTCCGCTCGGAGGGGGTCGCTCTGCGTTCTGGAGGTCCGGGATGCGCTGGGGACGGTTCGGGCGGACGGCGGCGGGGAGACCTTCAGACGCTATTGTGGGAGCTGGTCGGCCCATCCTGGGAAGGGGGAGGAAGAGCGGGAGGAAGATGGGTGTGCATACTTCCTGTTCATCCTAATTAAGCATGCGTGGTGCTACTCTCCCAGCTGCTAGGTTTCTGAAATCCACCAGGCAGGTGTCTCTAGCCCCCCCAAGTGATGCCCGAGAAGGTAAACGCCCTTCGGAGAAGTGCAGGTGTGACATGTTAAGGAGGAGCCCAGGTGCTTATTGAGTTATCAGAAGCAGGGGGGGGGGGGGGGGGGGGGGGCCGTGGGGGGGGGGGGGGGGGGGGGGGGGGGGGGGGGGGGGGGGGGGGGGGGGGGGGGGGGGGGGGGGGGGGGGGGGGGGGGGCGTGCCAGGATGTGGAAAAGGGGAGGGAGGGTGAGAGGAGAAAACAAAAGCAGCAGGTTGGTGGAGGCCATTTGCAGACAAATACTGGACAGCCATTTTGTTCTCGAGCGGGGAGTAGGGTTGATGGTAACTTGGTAGCTAAAAGCTAATTTGCCACGATGGAATTGGCACAAATGTCATCAAATGTCACTAAAGAAATGGAAGCAACTAAGAATCAGCAATTGTTAAAACAAACAAAGACACTACGGCGACAGAGCCCTAACAGAGGACATGTCAGAAGCAAAAAGAATCTCCACTCTCCACAAAGATCACAATAACCTCCTTTGAGTCACACTTCCTGTTTCCTGTCTGTGTGGGCGAAGGAACGGACGCGAGGAAGGAAAAGGTGAGAAGCTGGACAACTCTGATAAGACGCGCACGCAACCACACGCACACATTTGATCCACGTCATGTGAGCATTCTGTGAATTTTTTACGATGAGACCCAAATCCTAATCCAGATCACTTGCCAGTTCTTTACACACGCGTGTGTGGTGAACCGCGTCACTTGACAAATATGTTTTGTGACGCTTTGCAAGTTGTACTTCAAGTGACACGTTTAGAAAACAAAGCATGAGATTCGGATCCAGAGCTGATCCACTTTCACATCCGGTTTGTTGTCCTACGTGACGGTGCGCGTGGGTTAGCCGCATAAACACTTGATGTCGGCTATGAATTTATGACACTGTTGAGTTGAACTTCAAGCCAAACATTCAAGATGTGCAACCATCCGATCCAGATGCTGATCCAAATCTGATCGACTTGTGGTCACCTATATACTGTGTGTGTGCTGGAAATGTAGCTCCCCTTGTCCATTACCATGGCAACCAATGGCAGGAGTTGATAAGATCCACTGTTCTCTCTCTCTCTCACACACACACACACACACACACACACACACACACACACACACACACACACACACACACACACACACACACACACACTTTATCTTGTCAAGTTTCTCACATCACTAGCGGCTCAAGCACGGAGGCTTGTTGTGATTCTCACAAAAACCCGGTGTACACAAGACATTAACTTGTCTCTGAAGACTCACACGTTACCATGACAACCACGTGATGTGCCAAAGAGAGACACTTCCTGCTTGAAGTGGTCTTTTTTTTTTTTTCCCCTCCGAGCATGAGCACCAGATCAACTCTCAGATAGACCGCGGCCTACACACTCACTGACGCGCTTACGTAACAAGCGCACACGCACACACACACAGACACACACACACACACACACACACACACAAGATGATGAGGGGATGCTGGAGAAAAAAAAGTAGGAAAAAGGAAAAAAGTGAGGGCTGGCTAAAACAGAAGGTGAAAAGAAAGGGGAACAATATTAAAACATGCGAGCGAGGAGGAGGTGACGAAACAAAGTCTTGGAAAAAGAGAGGAGGGGAGGAAGGAGAAAAGAAGGGAAGACTCAAACGAAGGATGAGAGGAGGAGGTCAGGAAAGGAAAGGAGTCAAAAAAAAACAAGGAGATGAGGAAAGTAGGCGAGGAGTCGGGGCGAAAAGGAGGTCAGGAAAAAGAGTTAAAATGAGGACAATGGAAAGGGAAATAGGAAGGAAGGAAGATGATAGATAGATCAGGAGGAAGGAGAGATGGAGGTGACCAAAGGAGCCAAGAGAAACAAAGAGGTGCGGAAGGAGAAGAGGACTCAAGGAAACAAGGAAGTGAAGGACGGAAGGAGTTGAGGAAATGAGGTGAGAGAAGGAGAGAAGGTGTCAAGTGGGCAAGTAGGTGAGGAAGGAGAGGAGGAGTCAAGGGAATGAGGAGATGAGTCAAGGGAGCGAGACGGTGAGGAAAGCTGGGGAGGAGTGTCGAAAATGAGGACGTGAGGAAGCAGGGAAGGAGTCAAAGGAAACTAGGACCGGCGGAGTTGAGGAAATGAGGTGAGCAAGGACAGGAGATGAGGAAATGAGAGAAAGAAGAGGAGTCCAGGGAGCGAGAGTGTGACAAAGGAGAAGAATCGTCAAGGGAGGGGAGGAGGTGGGGAAGGAGGTGGGGCAGTGCAGGAAACGAGAGGACAAATCATGAAAACGAGGAGGTGAGGAAAGGAGACGTGTCAGAAATGAGGAGGTGACAGGAGGAGCAAGTGGGTGAGGAAGGGGACGAGTGAAGGAAATGAAAAGGAGGGGAGTTGGCGGAGAAATTAGGGAAGGAAAAGAGGAGTCAAGGGTGCAAGGAGGTGACAAATGGACAAGAAAGGCGAGGAAAGGAGACATGTTGGACGCGAGGAGGTGATCCGAGGGGAGGAAGTGTCGAGGGAGTTCATGGGTGAGAACGGAGAGGAGCAGTCAAGGGAGCGGCGAAGTGACAAATGAAAACGGAGGTGAAGAAAGGAGACGTCTCGGAGCTGAGGTCACAGTGGAGAACAGCAGTCACGGAAATGAGGGGAGGAAGGAGAAGAGGCGGTGAGGGAAAGGAGAGGAGTGCTCAAGTAAAACAGGGGCGAGAGGACAGGCCAGAAGTCAAGGAAGCCCCAGGAGGAAAGTGGAGGTCTGCAACGCAGCAAGAGGTGGGGGGGGGGGGGGGGGGGGGGGGGGGGCCGCATTCATGGGACAAAAAAACCCATCGCCTCCCAAAAGTTGAACTGAGGAAACTTCAAACTGTTCCTTCAAGAAACTCCTCAGTTCACACAACTCTTACCTGACGTGATCTTAGCGTAAACGCTCAGGCGCGATCGACCATGCGGATGACAGGCCACGCCCACGAGAGCGCGTGACGGAAGGAGACAACTGAAGGAGAGGACGCCCCAAAAAAGTTGCGCACGTGAACGAGCAGCTGTTGTGATGCTGACCTGATCACAGGCGCGCACGCACGCACACACACACACACACACACACACACACATGTGCAGCGACTCACCCAGCAGAGCAGCGACTTGTTCTCCATCTTGATGACTGATGGGAAAATGAAGAGGAAGCTGATGGAGGAGGAGGAGGAGGAGGAGGAGGAAGAGTAGCTGGAGAGACGAGAAGATGAAGAGGAGAGAGGAAGACGCAGGATGAGTGGAAGGCTGGTTGGTCGCTTCAGCCCACGCACGCACATGCACGCGTGAACATGCGCACGTTATCTCCCACTCCAACGCGTGGGATTGAAAACACACCTCTCGCTCGCTCGCTTTTTTTTTTCTCCCCCCTCTCGCTCGCTGGCTTCCACAGCGAGAGAATCGGGGTGATCGGCGTGGGTGTCGAGGAGCGGCCCTGTTGCCATGACGACGATGCACCCGAACAGCGAAGGTGGGGGGGGCCCACTCTGGCCTATCAAAGCCCACCTGGTGCATGATGGGAAAGCAAATAAATTCAAACCTGACTCGATTCAAAATCGCTCCCTCACCACTATTTCGGCTCTCAAAAACTCAAAAGTACCACAATGGAATTCATTCGTTCCATACGCTCGAATCTCAACTTATCGTCCCACGTTGAAATGAATGGAAAAGCCACTGAACTGTTCCAGCCACCCCAAAAATAACAACAAAGTAATGTCAATGTCAAGATTATTATTATTATTTTTTTGCATCAATTCAGTCGACATTGTGCTGCTCTTTCTAGTGTACGCGCCTTAGCCACCTGGGGGCAGTATTCTATAAACCTACACATAAACACAAAGACAGTCACTCCAAAGTCAGCCTTCATGAGGAGAAAGAATATATGCCGACGCAAGCTCCTCAAAGGTGTTTGCCAGCAACGTGTAATTCTGTTTTTGCAAACGGTTGTTCACAAGTCCAAAGGACGGCCTTATCTTGAAAAACACGTAAGTCTGGTCACTTGTATTTCAAGGCCTTACTCGACATGAACATGATGTCGTCCACTACATCGAAAAACGGTTGACTTGACTGGATCAGTCAATTTGCCTGGAGCAACTTGGCTGCCACGGTCGGAATCCGCCCCGCCCACAAAGGTCAGTTACGGTCCGTGATATCCGAGGGAGAAAAAAAAAAGTACTTTATTAAAAACGTTTCTTTACGAGACAAAAAAATAGACCACCATAGAGCAAATTAATCACTGGCGTCTTTGCAGCTGCAGTGTTACAACGTCCTCTGCTGGAGGTTTTCTCACAGTCTACTTTGGCATTCAGCACTCCGGAAATGTGACATTTTTTTGTTGAGTGTTACTTGCAAGCGTGGGTTTCCATGACAACAATGTCACTCGACGCTTCGGCACAAAAAAAAAAAAAAAAAAACTAAACTGAAGGCCACCGTTTGATTCTCACAGAGGCATCTTAATTGCACATAAGGAGCTTGTTTCTCTTGTTTTCTTATTGGTAACTGTTGTTTCTATATTACTGATGCGAGTAGAAATTTTTGGTTTTAAAATGAAGAGTGACATGACATGGAGTCAAAATTTGTAAGGTCTGTAAAGCAGTTTATTTTCAGAATATTTTCTAATGTGAAATTGTTTTATTATAACCAACAAATGATTGAACAAAACAGAGCAGTTATTTTTACTCCTACTCTATTTTATATGGTATGAAACAGAACAATTATTTTGTGATGAAAGAACGAAAAGAAGTTCAAATCAATTTTTCGATAAACTTCTTACAACACGAACCGCAAATCTACCGTGACACGTTTAATTTTGAGCATTTATTTGCAGAAAAGGAAAAACGGTCATATGTCAAAAAAGGTCTCGTGTTTATTTGGTCTTTTTTTTTCTACAGCTCTATTTATAAGAAGTAATCAATCAAAAAAAAATCATGCAACAAACAATACAGGATACAAGATCAGATCCATGCTCAGTTTGCTGGATGATCAATTTTAAATTCAGAAGCTTTCCATTGAGCACAGTTGATTTATTTTGGAAAACAAATGTTTTCAGTTTAGCGGCTTTGCGTGTGTGATTTACGTGTCAGCGTGTCCCTCCAGCAGCAAGTCAACATAGGCCCTTGTCACCAAACTCTCCTTGGTCACGCCCAGCTCTTCCATTAAACCTTTGGCCACCTGCCACCAAAAAAGGATGAGTCTCGACGGGCTTTTCAGCATCTAACTGCATATCTGACAAGGGAGAAAAAAAAAACACACACACCTGCTGCCCGTCCTCCAGCATCTGGTCCGGGCGCATCACCACCTGGCGACAAACAAAAAAAATTTTTTTTAAAAACCTGACTCAAATGATGATTGGCCCACATAGCACAAATTGCCATGAGGACTCGGTGACCAAAACAAGACCTCAAGTTCCATGTAGTGTCCCAGGCCGTCCACTGCGTCCAAGTGCACCCGCGTTTGACCAATGAGGAAGAGACGCCGCTCTTTCCGCACCTCGCCTTTCACACCCAGGGCGTCGGACAGCACAGCCTGAACATACGCACACGGCAGGCATAAATATATATGTACACAAACGGGGGACGTGTTTCTACCTTGAGGCTGGTCGGGTCCGAGGTGGGGCTGATGGAGTATCGGGACAGTTTGGGTCCATCCGTGTCGGGACGCTCGTAGAAAATCAGCTGACCTGAGCCGTCCTAAACACAAACAAGCAATACAAAGGCGCATTGGCGCTTCTCTGTCCCGCTTCTCTGCCACACGGACGGGCGGACGCACCATGAAGTCCCGCAGCTTGAGTCGTCCTCGGCGACAGTTGAAAAAGGTGTCGTGCTGCCTGATGACGGTGCCTTCCGATTGGCTGAGCTGGGACGCCATCTTGGCGAACTCCAGCGGCTGGCTGACTTTGGCCTTGATCTCCACGTTGGACTGCATGTCCACTGAGCATGGAACAGCACGCAGGGACATCATCATCAATGTGTCGTACAGCAATCACTCGCAGTTACATTATGGGCAGGTCGCCAGTCGATTTCAAGTCAATAACGGGAACCAAAAGAGGGCCGGAAATAAACACACCAGGAAAATAATGTAAACATCTTCAGACATACTTTTTGTTTAATACATACATCAAATAAAATGTCTACTTTTTTTGAATAGTGCCTATTTAGACGATATAAAGTATAAACCGTCTCTGAAGCATTCTGTTGAGTTTAAGGATCATAATTTACAACACAAGGCAAGTTAAGACGTGAAGACCTCAAACATTTGAATGCTGGGTAACAACTAGCTGGTGTCGTTAATGCTAATGTTACTAGTTAGCTTAGCAACGTTAAACTAACGGCACTCCATCATGTTAACTTTTTGGCCAGCGGCTTCTGGTTGTGGTTGGCCTACAAACACACACAAATGTCGCGTTACTCACAAGTCAACAGGTACAAGTTTGCGTTTTGAGATTTTTTTTTTGTCGCTTCCGGGTTGTTTGTCGGCGAACGAAGGGAACCGTAAAATTGAGTTTACCGCGAAACCCACAGCAATCTGAGATCAGTCCCAAAACATCCCGGAAGTGACGCTGCGCCGGAAGACTGACACGAGATCGCTTTTAAAAAGTACAAATTAACTAAAAATGAATTCTGTCGTTAGCCCACATTCGTTCATTATGATACCGTAACGAGTTACAAATGAGTTGGCTGCGTGTTGTCTTTTCACAAAGATGATACATGAGATTCGTCTTCCTCAAATCTTTCTTTCCACTCAGAGACACACTCGTGACTCTTTTCATGCACTTCTGACAATTGATGCACTCATATTCACCAATGAAAGACTTTTACACAAACACACTGTCAGATACTCCGGAAACCATGTCATCCAAACGCGTGAACTAAAACATGCTCTCTCTCACAGACAAACAAGTGCAACACTTTCAGGCAAACGAATGAAACTGTCCCACAAACCAGCAAAACCCTTTCAGGCGAAAAAGTGAAACGCTCTCTCACTCAGACACAAGTGAACCGCTGTCACAATCGACTGGAATGCCCAACACGTGGGTAGGGAACTCCGGTTGCTCGAGGGCCATATCCTGCACATTTTACATCCCTCCCTACACCAACACACCTGATTCAATTGTTCATGATGGTTGTAGGCCTCGACAGAGGTCGCCGATGGTCTGATGACCTGAATAAGGTGATTTGAATCAGTCGAGAGGGAGATGGAAAACACGGCAGGATATGGCTCCCGAGGAGCCGGAGTTCCCTACCCCTGCTCTAACAAGTAAACCCTTTTCACAGAAACAAGTTAAACGGTCACGTTGACCACTGGAAGACTTTGAGAGCATTTGTCTTTATTGCCGCCGATCGGAGCGTTTGCATCAAGTTAACTCTTGGCAGGGTGGCGAGCGGGCGCCAAGCCTACGCGGTCGTTCCCTCTGTCAAAGATGCTGTAGAACTCCGTGAGGAAGACATCTCCCAGGATCCACAGCGGGCCCTGAGGCGACACAATGTCCACCGCCTGGAAGCCGCTCAGGCACAGCTCTTTATCCCCCAGCATCTCCTGGCGGCAACAAAGAGACACAATGTCGACCGACGGGGCCCAAGTAGGCGGCTTGCATTTCGCCGGCCGACGGGACCTTCCTCACCTTCCTGACGTACTGTTCGGCCGTCAGCGTGAACTCATTGCCGCCCAGAACGAACGTCACGCGCGGCAAACTCGATAACCTGGCGCAGTCGATGAAGAACTGACACACACAGAAAGACTCACAGTTAGGCGAGCTGAAATGATGATGTCACACAGAAGCGAGCAATGTGACACGATGTAACAGCTGCGCTGACCTCGCCGATGCCGGTGGGCGTGGCTCCGATGAGCTGCTGCAGGGCGAGGATGTGAACGGTGGGCCCGGCGATGAGGGAGGTGCCCGTGTCCACGATGGCCTGGCAGCCGCGAGGACAGAACGAGCTGACGCCTTGGACAGACACACTGAAACACACAGCAAGAGTGCGTAGCGACACGGAGACACAGAAAGACACGACGGAAACACAAACCACCCAATACGCCACCGATGGACGGACATAAAGACATACTGTACATACAGCCAGTCGCGCACATGAAGAGGCACTTTGTGTGTGTGCCACCTGTCCATGAGAATCTGCCAGTATCCTTTGGCGGTGACGGGAAGCCATGTGATGGGGCCGTGGTACAAAGCCTCGTCGGTGCCGCCCAGCAGGAGCTCGCCGTCCGCCTCTCGACTGCCACCCGACTTCCTGTGGGACACCAATGAAGGGTGACGTCAGTTGACAATCAGTTGTCGCAGCGCTTCACGCAGATTTCGACCTGCTGAGGTAGAAGGAGAAGACGGGCTGGTCGAGGGAGTTCTGCGCCATCACGCTGTCGAAGACGGGTTTGCCCAGGATCTCGGCCAACGGGGGGTAGGCCATGCCCAGCACGCCGTCGAAGCGCGCCACCACGAACGTGGAGCCCGGCTCGTACACCGACTCCCCGAACTCCTGATTGGGCACGCTCACCTCGCCCACCTGCACAACAACACGCACAGGTGTGACGGGCTCCTCGGGGACGTACGCTCTCACGCGTTATACTGAAAAAACACTCGTGAGGGCGGCAGAGGGCTGGCACCAACCTTGAGCGTGTCTCTGGCCATCACCCCGAGCAGGTGACCCGAGCCGTAATGGATGCCGAACGTTCGGCCGTCGTGGCGGTACGAGGAAGACTCGAACGCTCGGAAACGGCTGTGCACCGCTGCCAGGGTGCACCCAGACAAAAAAAAAAAAAACAGGTTATTGATTGGCCTCTTATCATCAAACACGGTCAAACCGCTCTGACACAGTCAAGAGATACACTTGGAGGTCAAGCGGCGGGTGCGCCTGCGACACCGCATGCGTGTGTGTGTTGCGTGTATTACCACAGGCCTGGCTGACGCAGTATGACGACGGCACCCAAAGATCCGCTGATCCCGTGTCAAAAACCACCGAAAAGTTCTGTTCTGGAGTCCCGAGACTGATCTGACCAAAATACTGAGCCTGAGAAAAAAAGTCAAATCAAATCTCATTGGCTTGCAGAATGAACGATGACATCAAAGGCATTGGGGCATTGATCCTTGATATACGGGAGAGTAATGTTCTTTGGCTGAATTGGGTCCCAAGTAAATAATTGGGGGTTTTGACAAGGTCGACCGGTGCATGGAATACGAGGGATTGCGGAATGGCGTGTGCTCGTACATCCATGAAGTTGTAGAGCTTCTGGCTGGAGCGCCCCAGGCGCAGCGACGGCGTCCCGACGGGGAAACAGTGAGCGTAGCGGCGGCCGAAGGCGTCGGGTCGGTGCTCGCGCAGAAAGTCTTGCAGCACGCCGTCGGCGCGCAGCTGCGAGCGAATGGAGCGTCGCCGTTGTAGAGGAACTCTGCAGAATGCGCAAGTGGCAGATCAAATAAATAATATCAGCTTTGTTACTTTTGGCCAAGTTGTACACAATGAAATCTGAATTGTCTCTCCACTGTGGACAAAGAACAGACGAGCACACGGGATATCCAACGAATGAAACTATTAAGAATATCCTCCTAGTCACATTTTGAAACGTGTGTGATTTGTTACCTGAGCAGAGCCAGACAAGCGGAGGAGCTCATCAGAAAAAGGAGCAGAAACTTGAAGGCATCCATCGTGTCCGCTGCGTCCGCTCCGCGATGATGAGAGGCGGATGTGAGCCAGCTTATCAGTCACCGGTCGCCAACATTGGAAGGAGTCGCGATCAATACGCGCGCACGACCACTCGTGTTGACTCACTGACATTTAGGATTGTTGTGACTTGAAAAGCGCAACGTTGCTGCTGCGTTACATAACGACAAACAAACACATTTGGGGCAGAAATAGACAAAAAAAAGTAACTGGTCACCAGCTAATATCAGGATGTATGAAAATGAATCAGAGTGGTGACCGGTCAATGACAGGGCCTATGGAAATGAGAAGGAAAGAGAGAGGAAAAAAAAAAAAAAACACAAAACAAATCGCTTGTTAACGTGTCCTTAGTTTTTATTCATGTGAACAAAACAAACATAAAAACAAAATCCAAAAGATGGGTCGCTGCTGAGTGGCTAACGCTCGCGATTTATCAGGCTAGCATTAGATGCTGCTGCTACCACAGAAAAAGGAGGAGGAGGAGCATTTCTTTTTCAAGGTCAACAGATAAATAAAGATGGTGGTCTCCCCCTCTAACAAGGATGGTGGTCAGGAACTCTCTTCCTGCACACAAACAACATGGACGGGTACGCCAATGTGGTCAATTCCCACTTGCGTCCAATCGGCGTTGCCGGCGGCGTGTGCGTTTGACTGACCTGGGCGCCGCTTTGATGATGTTGTCCACCCTCAGGATCATCTCGGCCGCCTCGGAGGCGCTGAGCAGCACCTGGCGCTTCACCTGGAACGACTCGGTCACGCCCAGAGCCGACATGTCGCCCACCGTGCCTTCGGACATGTCTGCAAGCCATCAAAAACCACTCAGTCCTCACTATCACAATATGAGGACGTTGGCGATATAAAGAACGCTCACGATATTGTGAGGGCAAAAAAAATATAAAAATCTCATCACTGGAACAACTTTGGCAGACTAGTAGGATAACTATATGATATCTGTGAGGCAAAAATACAAGTTACGAATTATCCTGTGTGCTCACTCACTCAAACCAAAGGTGGTCTTGTTCTCCTGGTGTGCCGCACGCAGTTGGGCCACTAGGTCGGCGCTGTCGTAGCCGGCGTTGTCGGCGATGATGGTGGGCAGCTGACAAGGGCGGGTGAGAATACTTTTCATTGACCGATTTGTTCTCATTGATCCAGAGTCTCTACGACTGGACTTCAAACAAGTCCTCAGTAAATGCAAGGCAACTTTTTTTTCTCCCCCCTTCTTTACCATTCTCAAAGCCTTCGCGAAGGACTCCATGGCCACCGCCTCCTTCCCCGGTGTCTTGTTGGCCAAATCGCTCACCACCTTGGCCATCAGCATCTCGGAGCAGCCTCAACACACAGCGCAACAAAGTCATTTCAAAAGACAAAATGATTACGATTCAATTTGCTTTGAAGGATCCTGTTTACATGCACATGCTCAAAAACACATTTTGTTTCTTTTAGTGTATCCCACGCTTTGTGTAAAAAATAATAATAATAATAATCAACAGCACTAGAATTAAATAAAATAAGCCAGTGATTTTTTTCTCATACATGGCAATGGCGAGTGATGAAAAAAGCGGAAGGGGCGTGGCCTGGAAGGGGCGTAATAAATAAAATAAGCCAGTGATTTTTTTTCCCCTTTTTTATGGGTACCTCCGCCATAGACGGTGCGGGGCTCTTTGACGGTCTGCGCCAGCACACACAGGGCGTCGTGAAGCGAGCGTTCCGCCTCGTCCAGAATCTGCTGGGTGGCTCCTCGCAGCACGATGGTGCACGCTTCACCTGCGGAGTCACAATTTTGCTTTAGTTGCGATTCTTTTTTTGTGTTTGTCTGTTTGAGAACTCCTTGTGTGTGGGTGCGCGCATGCGCGCCGTACCCATGGCGACGCCCGAGAA